CACACATTTGCCCTGTGGGTTTGGCCATGTCCCAGCTGATGGGCTTGGTTACTGACCCTTCAAATACTGGGAATCAAAGGGTGCTTTGGAAAAGGTCAAAAGTCTGCCATTTCATCAAAGATAACTTTTTCTGATGAGAGAGTTAAGTTTCTTTAAGGTTTTCTGATAGCCCAAATTTGAGCAAGCAATGATAGAAATAACATATCATTTAGCCAACTGCCAAGCTGGAATTCAAACCGCCATGGTCTGGCTCTAGAGAATAAAATGGCCGTCCTGTGGCCTCAGGTCAGAACAATGAAATCTGAGCCTTTGAGGATAGGATACTAATACTGTTTAGAGGCTTGCCAGGTGGGAACCATCTGTGAAGGGGCATTGAATTGAAAGCTTTGGGGAACAAGAAAGGCTGCAAGCAATATGAACAAGTGCACGTTGTGCTTACCATCTTGGATTTAGAACAGGTTCTCTTGAAGAGGTATAGCCTATTAAGAAGTGTGTCTTGGATGAGAAGAACACAGCCAGACTCATGTTGTGCTGATAGCACAGTGAAGATGTCAGAGTGCTCCTTTCTAAATACTGTTCCACCAGCTCGTGCTGTGTAACAAGCCACTCCAAAACTTAATGGCAGAACACAGCAAACATTTATCATGTCTCAATTTGTGGGTCAGTGGGGAGTCCATGGTCTGGGCTATCTTGGCTAGGGCTGGTGGTCAAGGTTAGCCCCACTCACTTGACAGGAGGTTGATTGGTTGTTGCCTGGGGTGATGGGGTGACTTGGTTTCATGTGCCCATCATTCTACAAATGAGCCTGGGTTTATCCAGAGAAGTGGACCGAGGGTTCCAAAGTGAAAGAAATCGCTTTATTTAGTTGAGACTTTTTCAAGCTTCAACTTACCTGTAGCTTACTAAATTCTCATTGACCATAGGAACTCACATGGCCAAAGATTAAGTTCAGGGGATGGAGACAGAACCTGCACCTCTTCATTGGAGGATATTGAGGGTCATATGTGAAAGTAGTGGACATACAGGACAAGGAAGATTTTTGTAGTCACAGGATTCCAGTTAACAGAATTGCATGTGAAGCAGAAGAGCTGTATGTGGACATACACTGTATCATCTTTTTTTCTTTCCTTTTTCTTTTATTATTCATATGTGCATACAAGGCTTGGTTCATTTCTCCCCCCTGCCCCCACCCCCTCCCTCTCCCCCGCCAATACCCAACAGAAACTATTTTGCCCTTATTTCTAATTTTGTTGTAGAGAGAGTATAAGCAATAACAGGAAGGGACAAGGGTTTTTGCTGGTTGAGATAAGGATAGCTATACAGGGCATTGACTCACATTGGTTTCCTGTGCGTGGGTGTTACCTTCTAGGTTAATTCTTTTTGATCTAACCTTTTCTCTAGTACCTGTTCCCCTTTTCCTATTGGTCTCAGTTGCTTTTAAGGTATCTGCTTTAGTTTCTCTGCGTTAAGGGCAACAAATGCTAGCTAGTTTTTTAGGTGTCTTACCTATCCTCACCCCTCCCTTGTGTGCTCTCGCTTTTATCATGTGCTCAAAGTCCAATCCCCTTGTTGTGTTTGCCCTTGATCTAATGTCCACATATGAGGGAGAACATACGATTTTTGGTCTTTTGGGCCAGGCTAACCTCACTCAGAATGATGTTCTCCAATTCCATCCATGTATCATCTTGCTTTTGTGTTTTGAGAGGACTTATGATAACTTAGGCAAGATCTTGTGAAGTGATTACACCCAGGAGTCATGCCTGTAGGTGTCACAGCTGTCACAGCATAAGGACCATGTACTTTCTTGATTTGTGATGATACACAAGCTCAGCATCATGACGCAATAGGACATTAAAAGCGCAGACCTAGATTTGTGATCCCAGCTCTATCACTTACTAGTTGTGTGACACTGGACCATTTACTCACACCTGTAATCCTCAGCTTCCTTATCTGTAAAATGGGTCTCATAATGGTCCCTCACTTATATAATATTTTTGAAGCTTAAGTAAAATAAAGCATGCAGCACAGTTCTTGGCACTGTAAGCACTCCGTAACCGTAGTTGTTAAAGCTAGGATGTCCCCATTTGTTAATGAGACAAGGTAGACCCTCTATTAGTTTCTATACAACAGAATCAGGAACCCAGCTGGGCATGTGAACCTATTGTCAGGGATCGCTGACTGAGCACATACCACAATCCTTGGCTCCCTGTTCCATGGGGAACTCAGTGTAGCTTTATTCCAGGACATTCTGTAAAAGCCAGTCTCCTGCTCCCCAGCCTAAAAATTAGATTTGTACCTCTTGATCCTTCATCTATATTCATCTTGTGTGCGTGGCTATACATTAGGTAGAACTTTGACTGCTTTGTCACTTGCTGTTGTCATAATCGAGGGATAAGCTGGAGAAATGTGGCTGGTGCCTGATTGTGATTTCAGTAGTATGCCTGTTGGATTTGCCCACAGGCTGGATTTTAAAATGCCAGCAGCTGGCAAGCTGCAAGTGTTGTGCCCACTAGAGACCTGAAAGGTTGGAAAACACATGAATTATACATTCTGACAATGTGATCATGGAAAGGGCATGTCCTCAGTGACTTGGATTTTTCATTAAGCAAACTGTTCTTGGGTGCAGAATCTGTGTGATTTCTCTACATCTGTTTCTCTATGGCATGCCATTCCAAGCATAAAGTCAGGGGAGTGACTCCAAATGGAAGAATGCAGAACAAGCTTCTGGGCAGAAGGTTAATTCTACACATCTGCATCATTGCAGAAGCAGTGAGCACTGTGGTTTTCCTTTGCTCAAGTTGCCTTTCCCCTGGGGTTGACCTCACTGGGTTACCGGAGTATCCTAGGCTGTGGAATGTGTCATGGTAATCACACCAAACATGCACCAGTGCTCTTTTGAAATGTGAAAATTGTTATATAACCTGGTATTCCACCCCCTCCATGAGCACACCTGTTGTCTCACTGGCCTGAGTTGTGTGCTGTTGATTCCTTTCTCCAGCTATCTGTTATGGGCTCTTGTTTGCATTGACTTTCTCTAGAATCTGTGCTGAGAATGTTTCAAGAAAATACACTCCCTGCTCCAGCAGTGAAGTCAACATGGAGCATTCTAAATATTCCTAGGCAGTCTGGTTTGTGGTCACTTTCCCCTGCATTTTTAACCTCGTATGTTTCAAAGACTTTTCTTCTTTCTCTTTTCTCTTATTTTTCTTATATTTCTTTTTCTATTCTGTTATCTACTTTTTCTTTTTTTAAATTATATCCCACAATAGAATATAAATACTAAAAGGGAAGGGCCTTTATCTGTCTCTTTTACAGCTGTGTCTCCAGAGTTAAAGTAGAGCCTAGCATATACTTAAAGCTACAGTAATACCCAGTGCCGTTGTGTCTTCTTGTTAAGCTGTTGTGGCATGAATGATGGAGTTGCCTATTACTGCATCTTGGTTCAGCCCATCTTTCTCTTCCTTGCTTTCTATGGCCATAGCCATCTCAGTCACCTCAAGCTTCCCTTATTTTCCATCCTTCAATCTGTTCTCTATCTTGCTGTCCTAGACTGTATCATTCCCTTGTCACCATAACCAAAGGACCCCCATTGCCTGGACCTCCATCCTCGGTCCATGTCTCCTTTCTGCCTCATCTCATGTCATAGTCTGTCTAATACTCTTAACAACACGCACTGAACAATAATAGTATTCTGAGCTCACACTTGTTTCTCAGCTCTCTGTCTTTCATTACTGTATTCAACGGATGTGTGAACACTGATCATGTGCTGGACCTTGTTCTAGATTCTGAGAATACAGCAGTACCTCTGATAAGCCCTCTTCTTCACTCAGCTTCTGATGGAGTGGGGGAGACAGCAAGTGAGGAAAAAACTACATTGATAATGGAGCGTGGGCGAGTGATACTGGCTGTGAAGGACAATAAAGTAGAACAGGAGGCAGAGAGTTAAAGGGTAGGGGGAGGTAAGGACAATACGCCTTCTCCATTGCCTGAAGCATCTTTTCCCTTCCCTGTGCTTCGGAGTCTCTTTCAGTTCATCCTTTCAGATAAAGGCCAGGACTCATTCCCTCCAGAAAGTCCTCCTTGACTGCCTGCCCATGTAGAGTGAGGTACCTGCCCCCCAGGAGTTCCACCATACTCAGTGTGAGCCCATCAGGCATGGCTGGGGTTTACACTTGTTACATTTGGAATGCATATGTAAGCTGTGAGCTCCTGATATCCGCGGCTGGGTCTTACTTATTATTTTTCATGCTTTGCAGAGTCTGGTGTACAACAGGTGTCTAATAACAGTAAAAGTAAAAGTTTGGAAATGCTCACATCCGTGCTTCTGCTAGTATTTGGTTTAGGGGAACTAAAAGATGCCAAGAGATAGATCAGTAAAGTTTTGTTCAATAACTATTCTGATTTCCAAAATCTGTGTGCATTGTAGATCAGAAAATACTATAAATTATGAGAAGCAAATGAGAAAACCCATGTGTAAGTCTATCCCTGTTGGTCTTTAGTCATTGATAGCATATTTGCTACATAGCCTTCAGATCAATTGATCTATTTTATCTATCTTTCTATATATTTGTAATTTTCTTATCATCATAACCTTTTCACATTATAAAACACTATGAACATTTCTCCTTATTTTAGAAGGTTCTGGATGCACATTTATTATAAAGCATCAAATTCTTTATTATAATATTCCTTAGAACCTAGCTGTGGGAATTATCAGAAGATGGGGCAGAATTCTTCCAGAGGGAATTTGTGTTTGCCAAAGCCAGGTCCTTGGCATCTCATCACTCATCATTACCTTAAACTAAATGCTCCACTTGGGTTTTGGCCATTGACCCCAGAGCTGGTGGGGCTGTGCAATCTCACAGCCATTTCACATATAGTGAAGCCAGATTGAGCTCATTATTTCGAAGAATGGACTTCTCATTTTTTCAGGAGCAAGGTCAAAACAGAAGGTTTTTCTTGTGCTCTGCTTCTGGGGGCAGGTATAGTTCTAATTCACCATGACTGAAAACGTGGCTCTCTGGAGACTCAGCCTGAGGCAGGGATGGGGAGAAGAGAGTGTGGGTATCCTGGGGCACTCTCACCCTGGCTTAGCCTATCCAAGCTTTACTCAACCTGGACAGCTGTCAAACAAAACAGTGGAAGCTGTCCTCAGGGTAAAGCTTGCCTGACCATTCCTATCGGTCTCCTGAAATTCCTGACTTTCTTGCCAGCTCAGCAATACATTGAAAACAATGCTAATTGTATTTTGTCTGTAAATTTGAGGTACAAGGTTTGTTCTAGATTTCTAACTCACTATATAATGTGGGAAATAGAAATGCCAGTAATATATTTAATAAATTCAGTATTTGGGGATAGTGTCTGTAGTGTTTTGCGAGCATGCATGAAGTTATAATGAACATTCTTGTAAAGATATATTTGGACATATCTCTAATTAATTACTGCATGTATTCAGGTAAATAAAATTGCTGGGACAGTGAATATAGACGTTTTGATAGATGCTGCTCCATACTCCACAAAGACTGAATCAGATTATGCCCTCACATCAGTGTTCATTTATTTATTTTAAGCCTCTAGAGACCATGACTGTGAATTCTTTTGACACTGGTATATGGGGTTAGGATGCCCTGGGAGTTACTAAAGACTCAGATTTACACTGTTATTTACTGAACATTGGAGCCATCAGACATCATCATAGACACAAATCCTTCTTGGGCTTCAAAGGGAGCAAGGGTTGAGTGGATTTGATGAGCATGCCTGAAAGATGCTTTATGCATCTTCCTGGTGTGAGGAAGCCAGTCCCCACCAAGTGGATGAAATAAAGGAATTTGGATAATGGATAGTGATGCAAGCAGCAAGATCCCAGGCTGGGTCTGCCACCAATTCCTCCATCACATTAGAGAAGTGTTCGTTTTTGGAGGCAGCATTTAGTGATACCTGGAGAACCAGACTCTCTGCTGGTAACTTCACTAATAAGCTTAGTACTTTTAACAGCTCTAGTAAAGCCTGTAAGTGACCTGTCTCCTCTGCTATAGGAAAAGCAGAACTATTTCCCAGTCTGTGAGTTGGAGGATGAGATTTCTAAGCATATAACTCTGTCCCCATACCCTAGAGGGTCTTTCTTTGAAAATCACCAGGCTCCATTTATATCAGTTTGAGTTTGAGAATCTTATTGTACAGAAATCAAATTCTGACAGCACTCAAGGCCCCATCAGATCTAGCAAAAGTTTAGGAGGACATTTCTAAGGGGATTTATCTGAATAAATGTCTGTTGCTCTTCATAGGAGGCAGGCTTATTTTGCATTTGGAGCTTGAGAACTTTGAGTTATATATATATATGCATGCTTAAGTGTACACTACTCAGTGTGCATGAAAACTGCATGTCAAACCCTCTATAAGCTACTCTGAGAGACCGTTTTTGTTCGGTGACCATGCACATGTACAGGTGTGTTTTAAAATCGTAAGTGGTTGGTCTGAACCACACTTGTGTTGAGGATGGGTACACTGAGACAGGACCAGAGATTAAAGGGCACTTTATTAGCCAGACATGTAGGAAGCAGAGTCCAGCTCAGGTTCATAAGAGGTTTTACTGAATGGACTATTTAGAGAAGTATGGGGAACATTAAGGTAACTGACAGTAGATACTGAGGTATCCATAGACCAAACAGAACAGCATGAAGCTACAACCACCACATGGTCTGAAGAGGAAAGGGGAAGAAATGGTACAACTGGACTGAGGGACAGCTACGGTCATAAAGAGGGGATCTCCAGACAAGTGTGAAGGGACATAAGTGCTGCCAGCACCAGCTAAAGCAGGGAAAAAGCTGGGCTTGGCCTCTCACCTCCCTCTTGCTGCCATTGGCCCACTGGAAGTTGAGGGGGGGACCCTGGGGAAGCAGTGCGTTGGGTCAATCCCCATAGGACAGCAGAGAATGGATTCAGGATGGGCAGGTTAGATCTTTGTCCTTAGAAGATCTCAGTATGCATGTGCCACACAAATAGTTTTATTGAATTAGCTAGTTGTTACCTACATAGTGAAAGAGTGATGGCAAAGAAAAGAAGGTGAGAAAGCTTCCTGTGTGCTGGACAGAACTTGGTCCTGAATCTTCTCCAAAGCTCTTCTCCCCTTCATCTGAAGCTGGTACAGATGGAATTCTTCACAAAGTGAAGAATGAGTGATGTTGATGTACGTTTCCCGGTAATCTGAACTTTGTGTGACAGGGATTACAATGTAGGGACTGGGTTTTAGAACAAGTGGCCTTTAGGAACTTGTGTGAGATGCAGGTCAGCAAACAGGAAAGGAGACTCGCAAAGTCTTGGTGACTTACTGAGGTGATAGAGTTGATGCCTGGCTCAACCAGGACAGCAATTATTAGCCTATGTTCCTGAGAGATGGCTTGCCTCTGGATGTTGTATGTAAAATGGGTATTAACAACTCCTTAGGATATATTTAAGGATTTCCCCATGTCTGACAAGCAGGAGGCATTTTGGTGCTTGTCAGGATGCTCTGTGCAGATGCTTCATCAGAAGCCTGCCAGGTGAGCCTGCACCAGCAGCCGAGGAGCACTGCTTTAGAAGTGCAAAGGGTCCTGAGGTCTGATCTCTACTGGATGGCCCAGGAGGTCCTCCAAGTGCATTTGGTTGATATCAGTCTTCTATTATGCTCCTCTCACAAAACAGTTCTCTGCTCAAGCAAGAAGGTGGCAAACAGTACATCTACATCTTCCTCTTGGAGATTGGAAATGTACCACTTGGCTTATTAAAGTAGTATGATGTCATACAGAAGAAAAGACCAGCACAGTGTTAGCGATGTTTTGGCATGCAAACTATTGGATTAAAGCCTCTGTATTAATTTATGTAAAAAATCTTCATAGACATTTGATGTATAGATTTGCTTTTATTGACAACTGGGATCACTAATCACCTGAGTTTGAAATCCTCTGCTTGTAATTTGAGTTGCTTGAATCATTGGTTCTGAAACCCAATGATCTGAAACCCAGATGTAAGTTGTTATTTCCATTGGAAGGGCAGGATAAGTCATCAGGTGATTTGAGAGTCAGTTTTTTTTTTTTTTATTGTATTGGGTCGTGGCCAGGAAAAGCTTCATGGATGTTACTGTTTGTTTTATGTGAAACTGTTGAATGTCACTGAGCCCAAAATTTGAGGTTAATTCACATATTTTAGACAAAAATATGACTAGTCAGATTGAATCCCCTGCCTATGGAATAGTTTACAGAATGATCTTTTTCTAAAAATCTAATTGTGATAGCTTCATTAAAATTCAAATTAAATGACAAACACCCAGAACCCAGTCAGCCATCCAGAATACTAAAGCATTTGGAAATTTTTCAGCTCTCTGCTTTAACAGAATGGGGGAAACACAACCAGACGTTATGCATTCACCTTAATAGCCAGCATTCAGGGTGCATTTTGTGATCATTACGACTTCAAACTGGTTATCCTGATTTTTGTCTGTATCAACCTAACATATGCCCAGAATAATGACCTTAGTTCTTTCACTTACCTGAGGGCTCAAGGTTGAGTTTGTAACTTAGAGCAGGCTTCTAAACTTCAGTGTGCAGATGAAATGCCTGTAGATCCTGTTAAACTACAGATTCACTCTGGGATGGAGCCTGAGATTCTGCGTTTCTAACAAGTTCTCAGCATACCAGCTGATGCTGATTGTATGAAGACCCATGTTAAGTGGCGTGGGTTCCAGGATAAAACCAGTAGGATGAAAAGACTCCATCATATATGAAATTGACTATACTTATTATTTAATACATTCATCAAGATGAATAACTCATTCTTGGAAACTATGCAAAAATGAGATTTGAAAGAGTGTTTGCTTCTTTCAGTTCACCTGGACATCACATTGTTCAAATTTCTATATTATCTCAATTTTCTGACTAATCCATTATTAGGTATTATAAGTTATGGCTTTAACAGATACACAGGACTGTACCAACATTTTAGAAAGCAAACATAACTTGATCATTTTAAACAGAAGGCAAAGAAATGCTCCTTTGATATTTCATGTCCTAAGGGGTGAGGTCCCTGTGTCTGGTGAATCTGAAGTCATCAGCTCATGCGAATGCAGTCTGGAGAGAGGTTTTGTCCTGGAAGCATGAATAGGCTAAAGATTTGTTTTCCATTGATTTCCTCCGTGCTTAGGACCAAGGCCCGTGTAGAGTTTAATTTTCTCATGGGCATGGAATACAACTAGTGAAAAGTTACTTCTTTGTTCTTGCTGTTGTTTTCTATGCTCAGGATTTACAAGGTGTGAAGTTGAAGGTTTTGAGTGAAAAAACCATTTTGGTGGGACAGAAGTATGTCATCACCTGTTTAGTTTTCTGTAGGTTTGATTTCTGAGGACCTCTGCCTAGTCTCTATGGGATCTTTCTTTATTCCATTTTTTAAAATAGTTTTGGCTATCCTGCGTCTTTTACTTTTCCATGTAACTTTTAGAATAAGCTTATCAGTTTCTTAAAAAGAGCATGCTGGGATTTTGGTTGCAATTGCATTGAATTCTCAAAGAAGGAAAGCCAACAGCTTAACCCTATTGATGAGATTATGTTGTGTAAAGGTCCACAATACAAATTTCAGAATTGATAAAATGGGAAATCAGCTTCTGCCCTTTGAAATCCCTTCAACTGAGGGCCAAAAACATCTTACCAAACACTTTTTAAAGATAATTACTCTATCTGTTGCCAACTTCACTTTCCTGGAAAGTGATGTCTTTGGCAAAATCCCATTGTTGTGGGATTAGTAGATGCAGACTTGCTTAGTATGCATTGTTTCTGGTAGGCTGAGTTGTCCTGGGTAGTTTTTAGATCGTTTTTACAGTGTGACATAACAGTGGTACTTTAATTTTGAATTTGATAGATAATATTTTGTATGTATTTATGGGGTAAAGTATGATAATCCCATACATGCATACATTGCATTAATGATCATGCAGAGTGATTAGCATTTCCATCTCCTCAAACATTTATCATTTCTGTATGTAGGGAACCTTTGAACTCTTCTAGTTATTTGGAAATATACAATAAATTGTAAACTATAATTACCTTATTGTGTTATAGAACACCAGAGCTGATTTTTCTTGTCTGACTGCATTTTTAAATCCATTATCTAACCACTTTCTATATGCCCT